TATATTTAGTTTTATCAGTATTTTTTTACAAAGATTGTTAACCTTTCTATCAAAGTCTAACAGCATATACAGAATTATATTTCGTTTTTAATTATCACAAAACATATTCATCCAATAATTTTTACGATTTTCTAGAAAGCTTAAAATTTGCTAGAATTTTGCTTACAATTTTTGTAAAAATTTATGCATCGATTGAATGGTGATTTGTTTACATAAATTAGTTCTTACTCGTTTAAATGTATATAATAGCTCGCGGAGTACTAATCAAACGCGAATGTATCATATTTATTCACAAATCACTTTTGATAACAATCGATTTCAAGCACGTACAGAGATTTGTGCATGCGTGTACATGATCTCCTTTCGCATGTGAAGGGGGAAAGTAGAGTGCAGTCCATAATGATTCCTATCGATCGGATCACGTCATATGCCAAGTAACTAAAAGCGACAAGCATCATTGGAATGTGTTTGAACTCCTCGTTCGATTGAAAATTCTCGTTAGTACAATGTTGGGCTGTTTATTAAAATTGTTTACACTTTTCTTACAATAAGTCCCTATTAAATTTATTTAAGTATGAAGCTAATTTATGCTGCAGGACTATACACATTTTCTTTTATAGTGAAATACATTTTTACTGCAGCGGATGTGCAGAAAAAGATGGAAGTTATTTTATACCAGACGACTCTGTACATTATCTTTTATGGTGAAGTATATTTTTAGTATAGCAGAAATGCAGAAAAAGATGGTAATTGGTGCCAACTGGGTGCGAAGCCAGAACTGCAGAGAGAGAGAGAGAGAGAGGGAGAGAGAGAGAGAGAGAGGGAGAGAGAGGGAGAGAGAGGGAGAGAGAGAGAGAGAGAGAGAGAGAGGGAGAGAGAGGGAGAGAGAGAGAGAGGGAGAGAGAGGGAGAGAGAGGGAGAGAGAGGGAGAGAGAGGGAGAGAGAGAGAGAGAGAGAGAGAGAGAGAGAGAGAGAGAGAGAGAGGTGGTTAATAATCTCTGAGCGAAATTACTGAAAGTCTTCAACTGCTATCAGATGATTTAAACCTCGTGCTGTAGAATATTTTAAAACAGAATTAAAAAGCTAGTAAAACTTCGAGTCGATAGATACTGCTTAAAAGATTAATATGTATTCATTGATTTCATTCGAATATAATAAAATTTTGTCTGCTTTTGTTTGATCTAAATGTTAAAATGAACCTAAATAGATAAGAAATTCTTTTCTACAGGTAAAAATAAGTATAATAATCTTCACTAGATTCAAGCTTAATAATTCAATTACCGTAAGTTTTTATAAACAGGATATATTTTCATGATAATGATTTCTAGTTAATAAAAATCCATTATTTTCATTTTATTTCAAAATATGCAGATATCACAGATTTTTCAAAAATTACATTGATTCATCATATTGCGATATACATATCGGAACCCTGCACATGATTATAGCACTCACCAAAATAACGTAATATTTTTTTATTCAACAAAAAGTTAACGAAGATGTGTCGTTTTTATACTGGCTTATAAAAATTGCTATTTTACAGGGCGCAACGGAATATTTACAAGCCGGAACGTCGAGCAATAAAGATTCGATACCACTAGCAATTAATAATCACAAACGTCGATAACCAGACTTTATTACTAATTCGTATTTTTTCAAACATAAAATCAGCTTGATTACTAATTACTTCTGCTATAACTCTCGTGAAAGATTTTCGAATATTTAGTATCGGCAGCCTGGTGCAATCCGCCGATTGCGTTACTCGTTTGTATTCAGCGACACGTAGAATAACATGTAGAAAACAAATTACAGAGAAACACACACGGAACTTTCTCCAGCAAATACGTCAACGTACACACGTTCATGTAACAACACAGAAACCGATGACACAGGATAAACACAATACCCGCATAATACGTGGAATAAATTTCATTTTACACGGTCCCGTCGATGTCCGGTCGGGAAATAAAAACGGACGAAACTAAATTGTCCTTACCTGGAAAACAACGTGCGAGAGATTTTCATCGTCCCTGTCCAACGGCTCGAGGAGCTGCAGTTTCTTGCCTTGCAATTTGAAACGAGGCTGTCTTCCAGGAAAGATCAGCTCCAGCGTGGTCTCGTTGAACGGATCGCCAGATACCGGAAGTTCCTCTGGCACGGTTCTCTGATCGATCGCTGAAAAATTGAAAGCCCGTGAAACGATTGGCACGGCAACGCACGGTGCTTCGCGTATATGGGAATTCGAGACAAAAATCATAACTTTTGAAAAATCATAACTTCGGCCTGGCACTCCTAATACCTTTTTTAAAGGAAAATATTGGGTTGGCAACTAAGTATAATAATTGCCGATTTCGGTTATAGATGTTTCCCACTCCCATTTTTATGATATCCGTAAATGTTATATTATAAAATTATTATTATTATTATTATTATTATTATTATTATTATTATATGGCGTCGTCGTTTCGAGATATATACACTGGTTGGTCTCTCCCGGACTCTCTAACCCACCTATTTTTATTGAAGCGAGCCAATTTGACTCCTACAGCAAAATTGAAGGTTTTTGCAAAAGTATATAGTTTCGAATCAATTTAAATGAAAGATTTATTATTGAAAACTTCATCGGAAATGTTTTTTACGTTATACAACGAAAAACTTCGTCTTTACTTTCACTTTTAGAATTAGAAATAAATTTGGCTCATTTCTTGGTAGGAGATATATAGCGAAGATTTCCATCTTCACTGCTCGAGAATTCTATTGGCTTCTTTCTCTGTTTCAATTTCGTTATCACTTATTTCTATTAGTTTCTTTGACAAAAGAAAATTTATCTGTTTTCTTCCAGAATAGCAACTCTACATAATTAGATGTAAAACAAATATCAATTGAAATACGTTTTACAAATAAATATCAAAAAGAATATCAGATCTCACACTTCAAAAAATTATTAGTTTACGAAATACTTAAGTACAAATATTGCAAGACTATGCACGAAATTATTCGTCAAAATACTGTCACATTAAAGCGGTCAATATCTACACGACTATTGCTTTGCAATATTTTCGCTCAAGTGTCTCGTAAACAAATAATTTTTTCACGGTCTAATAATGTTTTGCCCTTCATTTGCCCTGTACGCGTCCACTTGCACAAAAATTAATTATATCATCTCGAAGCCCCCTCGAAACCATTTAATTTCTGTGTGAAACATTTTTTATGCGTGTATTGGATTGGCATCTAAGTAACTGCCGATTTCAGTTATAGATGTCTCTCACTCCCATTTTGATGATATCCGTAAATGTTGTATTATAAAATTATTATTATTATTATTATTATTATTATTATGTTATTTTTTATTATCCGTGAATGTTAGCAACTGGACAAATTGAATGCAGCGGTCAAGGAAAAGCGACCAGAATTGGTCGATCGTAAAGGTGTCATTTTCCAGCAGGACAATGCTAGGCCGCACACGTCTTTGTCCACTCGGCAAAAATTGATGGATATTGCTTGGGAATTGATGTTACACCCACTATATAGCCCTGATTTCGCGACATCGAATTACCACTTAATTCGATCCCCGGACAACTCCCTTCGTGGTAAAACTTTTAATGATGATGTCGCTGTAAAATCTCACATAACTCAGTTTTTGGCCGAAAACGATCAGACTTTCTACGAGCGTGGAATTTTCAAGTTGTCAGAGAGATGGCAAAGGGTCATCGAACAAAATGGAAAATACATTACAGATTAAACTTCATTACATAAATGCATCGACCGATGTAATAATAATTATAATTCCATAAAAAAAGCTAAAGCGGCTAGGATGTTTTGTTGAATATAAATATTTTTGCCAATTTTCATTCTTGCAATTTATTGTTTACTTATTACCGAACAACTTCTGTTCGAGACATTCTTGCATCGGCTTAGTCGAAATGCTTAAAAAATCCATTTGGAGTGCATGCACGTTCGAGTCAAAAATAATAACTTTGTTATTTTGAAAAGAAATAATGTTTTTAGAATTTTTGCTTTATTTCCTTTAAACTAATCAAATGTTATATGTTGTTTATATATAAAATATAAAATACATATATGGAAAACATGGAAATATGTAAAAATATATGAATATAAAAAATATGACAAATATAAAACATGTAAAAAGTTCACACATTACAGAAGCAAATGGGAGTTATCGTCTCATTACCGATTCTTTTCTTCGAACCGAGTAAAGTTGTGCAGCTAGAATTGAAACTAATTTGAAGTTTAATCTTCTATTAAGTACTAAAAAAAGATATAACGGGTTTACTATTTACTATTATTTTTTAAACCTCGAGTCAATATTGATAATCATTTAAAATAAAAAATTGGGAAAATTGGTTAATATTGCAAAAAATCTTATAATTTCTAGAAATGTCTGTCATCACTTTTGGCAATAAAAGCTATTATAAGCCACGAATTTTAGTCATCATCTTTTTTACTTCCGCCAATTGCACAAAGCACTATGCAACGATGGAAATTGATTTGTCCATTTGTCCAAATTGATTTGAATGTGGTAATGACCGCTATACATATATTCGCCGGGCCAATGAAAAGTCTGCATTCTTCGCGGAATTTCAACGTCCCACATTCTCCCGTTTACAATGACATTAGGTTCACTCGTAAATCACTTTCGTTCCCCTATTTCAAGCGAGTGCCGACCATAGCTGGGCAATAATCGATTGAAATGCTTAGTTCGATCGATCGATTGATGTTTATTACGATTAAAAAGAGTAATCATGAACAAATTGGAGATTCATGTAATCATATTCATTAATCTTCGAAAATTCGACGGTTGATTTAATCGGTTGACGAAATTAACCGTCGATCTTCGATTCGTGAATAATACTTTTCTAATCCAATTCCTGTATATCATCGCCGATTTTTAAACGTTTAATTTTGTGTAATAAGCGGTCGACGATTCATTTCTTCGGTCGATGAAACCAATCACCGATGTTTCTACGATTAATTCTTTCAATTGTACACTCATACACGAAAGTATTCGAACGCTTACATTTCTAACATTCAATTAATAAAATATATGTGTGAAACTGAAGCATTTGATATAATATGACACATATAACAAGGGATGAGCCTTAAGACTGCGTAAGCAAAATTAGAAAATAATTACAGTACATTTATTGTAAACACGTACCAGAAATGGCTCGCAAAAGTATTCGAACGAAACAATTAACAGTTATTTAAATTGAACGATTAAAGGTTTTAATAGGAAGTTCATCCACCTTTTGCTTTTATAACAGCCCTAAGTCTGTTTTCCATTGAGTGGAGCAACTTAGAAGTAACATTTGCATCTATTGATTGCCATATTTCAATAATATTTCGTTTTAACAGTTCTTTCGAAGTAATAACCGTATTTCTTAATCATTTTTTTACTTCATCTCATAAATGTTCAATGGGGTTTAAATCGGAATTTTGCGGTGGATGTGGCACCACGTGTGGAACATTATACAATACCCATTNTCGGAATTTTGCGGTGGATGTGGCACCACGTGTGGAACATTATACAATACCCATTCTTTGACTATTTTAGCAGTATGCTTCGGATGATTGTCAGACTGAAACCAATAATCGCTAGGTAAATTCAATTTTGATACACTGCTTTTTAAATTTTCCTGCAAAATTTTTAAGCATTTCGTTTTGTCCATTATCCCATCGATGAACACAAGGTTTCCCACTCCACTAGATGCCA